TGTATGCTTTCCCTGCCAGCATCTTGCACCCTGCTGTTATGTGCTGGACTGTCTCAGGGGCCTCCTTGCACAACCTACACCTTGGATCTTGTCTGGTGTGGTAGATCTGAGCCTCTATTGCTCTGGTGTTTAGGGCCTGTTCCTGTGCAGCTGGGATATATATATATATATATATATAAAATCAGCATCTTTGTTGTAATGACATAGAGATGTTACACTGTAAGTGTACGGAGACATGCAGGGTCCACGCTCGCTCAGGTGTGTATTTTAAAGTCGACAGGAGTGTGACATGATGCACGTTTTCAGAGATTAAGGCCATGTGGACTAATTTACCTGCACAGAGTCAGGAGGGAGATTTGTGTGGCTCACAGCTGGGATGATTTCATGCCTTGAAAAGATTTAGCAGGGACTAATTAAATGAGAAGGCACCTGCTTTGGCTTGGGGGAGGGGGGGGGACCTGTTTACACAGACTTGTTCTGTTATGACTGTTGACCCAACATAAGTTTAAAGGACTTTGTTAAATCACTCTAAAAGTTAGGACTTTGTGTAAAATTTGCAAATCTCATAAACCTATATTTATCCACATTAGAACATATGAACTTGGCAAATGTTTACGCAAAAAAAAAGTACAAATTGTGGGGAAAAAAACTATAATTTTGAGCTTGATGGCAGCAACACCACCTTAATGAAGTTGGGACAGGAGCAACAAAAGCAGCAAGAGGTTTGTCCAAAGGTTCAATTGAGAAATAAACTTTACAGCAGTTCATAGGTTGTTTATTGCGCACAAATAAACTGCACTGACTGAAAGCCTGAAGGCTGTATGCTGTCTGTATGACCAGCAGGGAGCAGGTTTTAAAACAAAGGTCAAAATTAGTTTTTTTTTTGATAGTTTGAAATAAAGTTTTCTTCTTCTAAAAAGCAAGTTATCACTATTTACTCATGAATTAAGAGTGCATGTTTGCTAATTAGTATTTATTATTTAAAACTAAAGAGTAAATTCTAATTCTGTCTTCGTCAAACGACCTATTTCAAACCAGGTTGAAGGAGTTGTACTTTAATTCAACAAATAAGACTGTGAAAAAGAGTGATGTTAAAAATGCCAGATCAATGTGAATGTTTAAGAGAATTACAAATCAGTTTGTTGAAGAAATACAGAATGTATCCATATGAATTGTTAGAGAAGGTTTTAATGTTTTGTTTGAATTACTTTTTTGGGGAAAAGGGGGCAGATACAAGATTTTTTTTTCTTTCTGCTGCCTTTCATTTAATTCGTGATTTGTATTTTTTGTATACATAATTTATTTTTTAAAGAAATATAGATAAACTAACTATATCCCCCTATCTACAACCGATTTATGCCTTTAAAACATTAAGAGTAGAAGAGGAAAAAAAGACTGTGGCTCAGACATCTGAATCTCCATATTTTATTGTTATACACATGCTGCTATACACAGAGAGAGACAGGACCAGATTTTACAGAGAGCCAAACACCACCTACTGTGGGGTTCTCCTGGATACCAGGTCAATAGTGGTCAGAACAGGAAGGCACAGTGTCGACTTGAAATGGCACAGAAAAAAAGGAGAGAATAAAGACAAAATAACAGTACTTCAAATAAAGAGAGGTATTTAAAAAAAAAGCCTCTACAATGTTGCATGCAAAAGCAAGCCCAGTTATTATAATGCAAAGTCTGCATCAGATGTGTTCCATCAATAATACATAACCTCACTTGTTCTCATTTGGTGAAAACACAAATAAAACATCTCCAACTTAAAACTGCCTCATAATATTTTTCCTAGCATGAAAATAGACACATTAAATAAAACTTAAAACCTGACTGTGGGGCTGAATCTGCTTTACACTGAAGCGTTTAGTGTTCATCGCGAGCAGGCAGCTAATTCAAGGCACATAGATCTATATGCATGATGCTACACATACAGGACCAAGGTAAATAAAGCTGCTGCTGTCACACAAACACGTGACTTTTTTTTTTTTGCAGCTACAATATAAGCAAACACTTACTTTGCCACAAAGACTGTACAGAGATCAGTCACATCAATGACAAGTACGCTTGCTGAGACGAATACTGAACCAGCATAATGTTTGTTTCAGGCTTCAAAAGCAGCTGTTGGGACCTAAATCTGTAGTGCTTATTGTTAAAACAATTAAATAATATAACATGTTAAAATGTTCTCATCTTAAACCCCAGATTTGTTTTTAACATATATAATAGGCAAGTAATACATTTTAAAAGTATCTACACAGAGTTCTTGAAGTTATTTTAACATATTAAAAACAAACGTCCTGATATTTAGGGACAAAGTTAAAAGTATTTTCACGCTCATTTGCTAAAAAGGAATGGATAATTAATTTTGTTGGAGTGCAAAATCACAAAAATGGACACAGATACATAAGAAACATTTCTTTAAATACTAACCGTAAATAAAAGTCATAACTGAAATGTTTTTTTTTTTTTTACTAATAATTACAATATTTAAGCACAAACTGCATTTAAACGCTTTTTGATTTTAATGTCAAGAAATTCTCGTGATTCAATTTATATTAAATGTGCTTATAAGCACCGTGACAAGTAGTGAAATCCCTCAGGACCACAAATCTGGCGGAGACACACAACTGATGAAAACTAAAGGAAATGTTTTCAAAGCTGAAAAAGGGAAAAATTTTTTTTATGTCAATCACTTTCTTGTATTGATGGAATGAATCGAGTCCCCCTCCTTGTCATTTTTTAACTTCCTCTCATCTCACGACCACACAAGAGGACTGGTTTGAGGAGGGTGGTTTGGGAGAATCTTCTGAAGAGGAACTTTGGGAGAAAAAGCGTCAGGGGTTGAAGTGCTCGTCTTCCATATGAAGGCTGCTTGAGGGACACAGGAGAGGCTGGCTGGAGCAGTTTGTGCTCTGACTTTTCAGACTTTCTGTTGACTCTGATGAACCTGCAGTGGAGGATAGAAAAGTAACAATTTAAAGGGATGTTGCCTTACGAGCATTTGTCTCTTAAATGAACATATTTATTTTTTAAATAATTTTTCCTACAAGTCTTTTTATTTCTATGTGTTTGTCTTTACATTTCTCTGTCTCCTATTATTACTTTATATTATGCATTTTTGCCTCAATATGCAAATAAGATGGGTGGAGCTTGTTGGGTCAGCTCCTCTCCTATTGGTCAACGGACAGGATGGAGCAGGATCCATGTGCAGATCTACTGTGCATGCTTGTGCTTCTTCAATTTAGTTTAAAATAAAGACACAGGTAAGTGTTTTTCCTCCTTGCCTTTGTTTTTAACTAAACTTTAAGCTAAACTGAGGCAGTGCAGGCAAAGCACAATAAATGCACATGGATCCTGCTCCTTCCTGTCTTTTGACCAATAGGAGAGGAGCTGACCTAAGAAAGACCACCCACCTTATTTACATTATGAGGCAGAAAAAGTAAAAACAGGAGACAAAGAAATGTAAAAAATTAAGAGACAAAAATGCATGTACAAGTAAAAGGAAAAACAAAAATATACATATTTGTAAAGAAGCGTACTTTAAATTATGTACTAAAATWTATAATATATTGGAACTAAGCTGGAAAAGTAAATATGGTCAATTAAATTATTAAACATGAGGTAACGTTTTCCTTTTTTAATTTAATTGGTCTATTTCATTTATTTACTAGTTCATTTCTATGTCTCTGCTTTTATTTCTATTTATGTCAGATTCAGTCCTCCTTATAAACAAAGTGATGTGTGAAAAAAAAAAAAAAAACCAACCACTTATTCCTGATCGATTTAGCTTCACACACACATTTTAAAAAATTGCTTTAAACAGCAAATTTGCTGCTGGAACGTGTTTTTTTTTTTTCTTTTTGTAGCTACAGCAGACATCAGTGAAYATAATCATAGAGAACCACAGTCAAGAAGGAATAAGTAGAGCTCATACATACAGAAGCAGAGCAGACACAAAAACTCTACATACCACAGTTATTCCTCCATACCAATAGAGCAAGAATCAGGACCTAGAGCTGCAAGAAAGTGAGGAGGTTCAAAGAGACACGACAGTATGAAACAGGAGAGGAGTGTTAGGGAACACGCAGAGGCAGGGGGACACAGGTTAGATGCAAAGCACAGAAAATCATGGCCTTAAAATCCTGATTACAGTAAAACCTTGAGCTGAAGAACCAGAAGTTTATCACTGAATGAAATCAAAAGTTTTCAAGATGCAGAAAGTGTTTGTTTCACATGATTTTCTCCTGAGCTACAGGTCGGTTTTTACTTCTCAACAGATTCACGGATTCAATTCCCAACGTCTTTCAGTTTTCATTTCTTCTTTTTGTTAAAGATTTGAGGATCCATTTCTCTGTTTTGGGTCCCTGACAGAAGGTTTCTCACCGGGCAGAGACAGATCACACGCAGGGTCGCTTTCTGTTTTGGTCAAGCTGCAGCGCTCGCTGCTGCAGTCCTGCAGGATGTCTCCTCCAGTGTGCATCCTGTCCTCTGGATCACCCAGGACAGGCACAATGTCAAACACATTACCGACCCTCTTTTCACGGAGAGCCGAAGGAGAGAACTCACCGTCGTCTGGAGAAAGAGACTCGGCCATGTCTTCGTTCGCTGTTGCCTAAAATAAATAAATAAATAAAAAAATTAGTGAAGAAGTTCAGTCGGTGGCAAAGTGAAGGTTAAACAGAGCAGAGGCAGCTTACGTCTGTCGGGGCGGGACTGCTGGAGAGAAGCGTGTGTGGCTGAGTGTCAGACATCTCAGACAGCTTCTCCTCATCCTCCTCCTGGATTGGAGAGGATGGTGATCGAAGGGTGCTGGAACCAAAATAAGGCACACAATTAATTAAACTTCCTAAGCTAAGCTAAGCTAAGATAGACCTTTGTCATTGTACAGAGCACAATGAAATKACAGTTCAGAACACCTAACCCATTAACCCATTCWGAAGAAGACAGAACATAACAAACATAGGAGAACAGGTGCTCTGGGTCAAACAACCCTTCAGATCAACCCTTAAAGGAGCTAATTAAGCAACTTTTGAAAGCTGCCTCAAACCATTTTGTTAGTTTCGGGATAAATAAGAATGTGTGTGCAGCTTTCCGTATGTAAACGTTTCTCCACGTTGCACACTTTCATTTTACCATTACCTGTCAGGCGACTTGCTGACTTTGCTCTTCTGCAGACTTCCATCGCTTAAATGCTCAGGTGAGCTCAGCTGTCGGCCGTCGCCTCCCGGCCCCCCCGAGAAATTGATTTCGTCGTACAGGGGGGCTGAAGGAATGGCAGGGGACACGGACCGCAGGCCGTTCAGAGCCTCCAGCAGCGAAATGGGCTCGAAACCAGGGGGAACCGAGTCCGTGCCCTGCAAAGAGTCAAACACAACGAAAGGGRCAACAGATTTATTGCAAACCTGAATCGCACAATTAAGGTTATTCTGTTCAAACTTTCTGTGACTATCAGGAAGAGTGTGGTGCAGGTTTTGGTAAAATCCCCAAATAAATAACAGAGATGAATGGCATTTTGACAAAAACTCCTATGAAAACCAAGTCCTCTTTGGAACTGTATGTTGTAATTGTAAGAGCAGAAGCAGGAAGTAGTAAATCTTTACGMGCCGGATATGAGTGACACCTACTGAGTGCTCATCGTGGTCCATGGTTTGAGCCAGAACTGGACTGAAGGACACAGGAGAAAGMGCTCCGGGCTTCTTCCTCACAGCTCTGATCTGCAGCAAGGCTCTGAAAGCTGTTCGGAGCAGATTCCATTTAACGCGACATGAATTCGTTATCCAGCCTTTTTAAACCCTCTCAAACAGATGGAAAGTAATGCAAACACACTTACGCAGTCTGCAGATGGGACAGTTGTTGGCCTGGTAGCGCAGTGTGTCTGCGCAGGAGTTGCAGAGGCACAGATGTCTGCAGGGCAGGATGAGAGTGTCTCGCAGGTCAGACAGACACACGACACACTCGTTGCTGTTGTCGCTGTTCTCATCATCAGACGGCTGAAGGAACAAAATTTAAAAAAAAGAGTGCACTGATCAAACAAAGCTGAACATCTTCAGCATCACGTTTCATGAAATCACAATGTTGCCACAGGAACCTTAGTTTCTTGGTTGTTTTTGTTCTCAATTCCATAGATTTCCTGTAAGAGGTAGCTCACACGATCCACCTRTAAAAATACAACGAATTTCATGTTTATGAAGCTTTTAATGGAAATTAAAGGAGCTAGGTCTGCAGATGGGAAACACTCCCCGGTCCAGGTCGAAGTTCAGCTTTAAAGACATGAACGCACCGTTTTAAACTGGATCATTAATGTATGAACGCAGGCGGCTCGTGTGGCCCGCTGACAAACAACTCGACTTACATCTTCTTCTTTCCACTCGCTGAAATCTATTTTGAAGGACGGCATGGAGAACTGCTGGTTCACCCCCCGCTTGTAGTGCACTGTCTCCGAAACCATCGTTGGATCTTTTGGGCTGTACCTTCACGTTTAAAAACAACAACAGCAAAAACAACAAAAANGTTGGACAAACATTACCATAAAAATCTTTTTTTTCCCAATGCTTTCACTGTATTAGAATCTCACTTGCTTTACCTGACTAAACGCAAGGAGTCCTTTCTGATGTTCACCAGACTCCTCAGGGTTTTCACAGGTTCGTGGGGCGCAGGTGTCACGTACGGAAACTGGTGGAACAACAGCAACTTCAATGAACCGTACCAAAAATACTTTTTATATCATTCTTGTCGCAAAAGATATCTGAAAACTTCGTCCAGTGAGTTTGGAAATGGCACATTATTAAAGCTAAATGAACTTTCTTTTAAATATATACCTGCACTGGTCTATTTCCAAGAAAATTCAGGTCCATGTTTTCCCCGAAGAGGTATCCCTCTGGATGTGGCGTGTCAAATTTCTCTCCTCCCATAAAGAAGTGACTGGCGAAGTAATTTCCTGAAGAGGAAAGGAAAGAAGGGGAGTTATTATGGCAGCAATAAGA